AAAACTTAACCTTGTTCACTGGTCGAGGTCAAGTGAAAACTGTCTGACGGGCATGAGGACCTTGCAAGGTACGCACATATCAAATATAGTTATCATATTACTCATAATAAGAGAGAAATTAAGAATACTAAAAATCTTAACTTTTTTTTCAAGTAGTCACTGAACCATGAAAATAAGGCCAAGGTCGATGGACATATGACAGACGGAAACTTCATAACATAAGGCATCTATATACAAAGTATGAAGGATCCAGGTATTCTACCGTCTGAAATATTAAGTTTTTAAGAAGTTAGCTAACGCCGCCGCCGGATCACTATCACTATGTCGAGCTTTCTGCGACAAAAGTCGCAGGCTCGACAAAAAACTGAGGAAAATAGTATAAACCATTAGTTTCAAATAATTTTTTATCTTAAAATGGACATTTTTTCTAAATTGAAAATTATAATGAAGACACATATATAAAATATATAAATGACAATGGAAATATGAGGAAAGTAGTATGCAAACTTTAAAGTTTATTGGTGAAAACTATTTCGAATCTAGTTAATATTTTATTTTCATTAAAAAACGGAAACGAATAAAGAAATGGAATTGCAATTGTCTTTCCTTTTTAATTTCAAGTACATGTATGTTTAAAAATCATCTATATTGAATACTTCTGCATATATGTATCTAGATAAAGACTTTCCGTAATACGGCGGTCACACATCATACAACTACACCACAGTCATTTCATACTGATTTGACGTGTTGTTGTTTTACCAGTGGTGCTTGTTTGCCTGTTATAGTCTCACTGACATTTACCATACTTTCATTCAATTTCAGCGCATTTTTTTCTATCCTTATTAAAGTAGTTATTAAGTTAACTTCAGATAAAAATACTTTCCTGTAAGAACATGTTAAAACTTAGGATTTGTATTTAAAAAAATTGAGCCGAGCTGAGTGGGGTGAGAGAAAAAAGATGTCTTTCGTGATAAAAAATAGACTTATTTTTTATTGTAGTGGGAAGCGTTAGGTGTGGGTCGCCTGAGTCCGCATCCCCAGGCCATAAAGGCAAATTATTCACATAAAGAGATGTTAAAAATGCCACGTTTAACTCCTATATATTTTGAACCAAATGCTTAATCATGAGTTTTTCGATTAATCATGTAAGGAAACAACTATTAAAATAATCAGTGTTCTTATTATATGGAAAGGGGTATAATCAGAAAAGCTTCGAGAAAAACTGCAAAAACTAAGACATCAAACCATCAATCCCTGATATTGTCGCGTTCTTCATGTCCAGCAAACAAACAGATGACGGGCATGACTCCCAAACATTGAAATGAAGTTTGAAGCCAAAAGTTATGACACAAGATAAACGGGACAGTGATGGGGACGAAAATGGCACCGTCTTACGCCAATATTTTCATGGGCAAATTAGAGAAACAAACCATTTCAACATCTTTATCTAAACCTCTGTCTTGGTTCCGTTTCATCGATGATATTGACATGAAATGGATTGAATCCCAACAAAAACTGGATGATTTTATCAAACATACAAACAACGCCAACGAGTCAATTAAATTCACACATGAAATTTCCGACTCTAAAACATCTTTCTTGGACACAACTACATCTATAAAGGACGCTGTCATGTCAACAGACCTCTACTGTAAACCTACAGATAAACATCAGTACCTTATTTCCCACAGCTGTCATCCCAAACACTGTACAAAAAGAATCCCGTACAGTCAACCTCTCAAAGTTAAAAGCGGATTTGCTCCTTTGAGGAAGCTGTCACTTAACGGTTACAGGAACTTCGCGGATTTTTGACCAAACGAGGTTATAATAAATGGGAAATAGAGGGTTTGCGCGTGCTAACAATAACAGCCGCAATTACAGTACAAACAGAAAAGGCGAAGCGAAATAGTTCCGTTGGTTTTAACATACAATCCCGCCTTTACTAATTAACCTTTCCCATTTCATCCGTGCCAATTGGCAGATTATTTCCAAACACCCAAAATTATCCAAGATCTTTCCCAAACCACCTTTCTTAGCTTTTCGGAGACCCAAAAGTCTCAAAGACTTATTTGTGAGAGCTGGGCCCGTATGCATAAAGCTACTTGAGTTAATATTTGTTCCGAACGGACGGATTTTTCTACATGTCCTACGATAAATTAGTATTACGATTGGATATTTTAACTTAAGTAGCTTTATGCATACGGGCCCAAATGTCACCTCTAATAAAAGCTCTACAACTACAGGATGGTGCAAGTCGTGTGGTAACAGACGATGTCTGACCTGCCAACAAATACTGAATACTCAAACATTTACTTTCCACTCCACTGGGTCCGTATACACTATGTATTGCAATGTAACTTGCAAACCCAGAATGTTGTATACCTTCTTCAGTGTCGATGTGGCATGCAGTATGTTGGCGAGACAGAACAGCCATTCAACAAACGCATGAATGGTCATCAAAGTGACTACACCAGCAAGCCCGACCTCCCCGCAAGTCGTCATTTGAGATCACCTTGGCACGCCCAAGCTGATCTCAAAAACCTTACCATCACTATCATAGACCACAACGAGGGTTGGTCAAGGGCAGACTTGCTCTGGAAAGTTTTTGGATAAGAAAGTTAAGGACAGTTTCCCCAGAGAGCATTAATGAAAAAAAAACATAAAATGAGTCCCTACCATCACTTGTTTTCAGTAACTCGGGCTTCAGTACAGGACTCTCATAGTTTTAAGGAATTTATTCCTCCTTCCAAACATCAATATTGAAAAAAATTACCAGCGTATTGATTCGTGATAATTTGTATGACGTTCAAGATCATTATTTCAGTTTGACTACCACATGTCAAGATAAGAATCATTTGACATCTTACTGATGAAGGATATTAGTTATCCGAAATATTTAAAATTTGTTCATGATTTTACTTTATGTTTTTGGTGATGATGTACCCTTTTAGACTTGCTTATTATATATCATATTCTGTAGTGTACTGTATCATATCTATATGATCCATCGCCTCGTAAGATTTATTGTTGGCTATTATTCAGACATTTTATATATATATATATATATATATAAATATATATATATAAACAAGTCTTAATTGAAAACAACGTTCAAACCTATGATTGCGTTGGATAAAAACCGCAATTTTTATACGTGTGCATGCAAAACAAATTTCTTGGTAGAGTGGTCTAAATACAGCACAAACAACATTTTTCAAAAGACCAAAAATAGTGAAAAAGTATATTTTAACAAAACGCATTTGACTAGCAGGTCGAACAACGGATGTTCTTAAACCCTGTTGATATATATATATATATATATAAACAAGTCTAAATTGAAAACAACGTTCAAACCTATGATTGCGTTGGATAAAAACCGCAATTTTTATACGTGTGCATGCAAAACAAATTTCTTGTTAGAGGGGTCTAAATACAGCACAAACAACATTTTCCAAAAGACCAAAAAAGTGAAAAAGTATATTTTAACAAAACGCATTTGACTAACAGGTCGAACAACAAATGTTCTTAAATCCTGCTGACTGCCATTGGCGATTGCCAAATAAACGGATCACAAGGTGTAATAAATGGATCTTAACTTTAAATTTAATACCAAACAGAAAACAATAAACTTGCGGCGAAGATGGTATACCGCAAACAAAGGTGCAAAGATTTTTTGTACACCATATCCGGATTTCGACAATTAATGTCTCTTCAGTGATGTTAGGAATCGAAACGGTTATTGGAAGGCCACATAATTTATCTCAATTTGGGATAGACTCTTATAAATAAACTTGCGGAAAAGATGGTATACCGCAAACAAAAGGTGCAAAAATTAGTACACCATATCCGGATTTCGACAATTAATGTCCCTTCAGTGATGTTAGGAATCGAAACGGTATTTGGAAGGCCGTATATATATATAGTTTAATATAAATATATTATATATATATATATAAATACTTTATTCAGAAGTCATATATATATATATTTGACTTCTGAATAAAGTATTAGACACTTCTGCTGAAGAATCAGCTACTGAAAAAAGGTATAACAAAAATCTTCTTCTTCATTTACAGATGTCTGGTTTAACAGTATTGTATAAAATTACAAAATTTATTTTTCTAATTTTTATATTAATTTTTCAATTTTTTATATTTGTTAAATAAAAACAAAATATGGATAATGCTTGTGTGTATTGTTAAGTATAAAGGAGAATTTCTCTGGTGAGTTTCTTCTTGAAGCACTCTGTAGTGGTACTTCAGCCTATTGGTTCAGGTAATTTGTTCCAATCTTTTATAGTTTGGCAGAAGAAAGAACATTTATTCAATGTCTTTGCTGCATCGGATTTGTTTGTATGTTTGTTCATGATTAGCCCAGATGTTTGCTTTTAACTAGGATATTATCATATGGAAATTGAAATTTTGTTGTTGGTGATTCTATTTTGGACTATTATACTTACATATATTATGTCCCAGATTCTATGGAACATGTTTAATCGGCTTTTAAGCCTTCTTTCTGGTAATGATGGACACTAAAGTGTGATTAGCATGTTTATAACCCTTTCCGAGTATATATGATTATTTAGATCATACGTATATATCTTGCTGCACGTTTTTGGACTTTTTCTATGGATTTGATGTTCTCTGTTGTATGTTGGTCCCAGACGGTGCAGCAGTATTCCAGTTTTGGCCTAAAAAGGACTTGGTATGCTCGATCTTTAATCACGTCTTTAATGGTCAATGTCGGAGTCAAGTTATTTTAAGATTTCTTCTGATGAATGAAAAAAAATACCGAACTTCAAGGTAAAGTCAAAAAAAGTCAAAAAGTGGGAAGCCCATAAAAATTTTAGTGCATTCATCGATTAGCCTTAATCGATGTTTGCATGTTTGAAATACAGAATTGCTCAAATCTTGTAAACATTTTTTTGCAGCGACAAACAAGTGCCTGTGTAACAATACCGTAAAATGCCATCCATTTCGGTTTCAGTTTTTGTTATTATTTACTTAACTTCCTGTGTACAAATTGAAAGTAGAAAACGCAAGTTGAAAATTAAAGCGTGACTATTTTGCAAGAAATGATTTAATATGACTGAATATATTTTATGAAAGATGTCTAAAGAAGAAAAACAAACAAACATAGGAGATAAAGTTATTCAGTACGAAACGTTTTTGAATGAAAAGCTCAGAAAAGATTTAAGGTTTGTACAGCATATTACATTATGTAAAATTGTTTATAATTACTCTGCACTTCGATGCGTCTTTAATTGACACTACACTTGTAATGTATTGTATTATTCTCATTATTTCATCTCAAGATTTCAAACTTACATTCACAGTGACATAACATTTAAGTACCTCTGTATATATAAAGATCATACCATCAAATTAAAACACCTGCAAATCTAGTCCAAATAATTATGACTTCTTCTTCTTCTTCTTCTTCTTCTTCAGTTTCAGAAAACCATCAACATACTGATGTTTACTTTCCGGCGCATACCTGGTAAAATTTTTTCAAATTTATGTATTTATAAATGTAGTTAGACATAGATTGTCAAATTTTTTGTATTCCATATTTTTGTATATTTGTTATATTATTATTGATTTTTACAATTTTTCTTTGTTTTTAGATTTTTCGTTTTTATGTAGTTTTTCTAATATTTCATTTTTTATTTTTATTTTTAATTTAAGATAAAAACATGATTGCCTGATTACTTCAGGTGTGGATAGGTATCAAGGAGCACATCGTGAGTGAGTGCATCCTTGAAAGTTTCTGTGGTGGTGTTTTTTGTTATGACTTCTTCAAAGGCTATTTAATTGTTTGCTATTACACCTTCCTGCGTCACAGCAAATAATTAAAATAGCCTTTTAAGACGTTACAATTATTTGGACTGCTGCAAATCTTACAATATATAATAATTCATAGTACTGCAAAAAAAAAAAAAAGAGAATATGAGAAAATGGTCCAGCTACATAATCATAACTCCTGGGTGCTGTGCTAATTTACAGGGCACACATAAATCAATTTAATTGTGAAATTAGTGAAATTAAACCCCTAACAACAATTTCCCACTTTACAGCATTATAGTTTACAGCATTAATAGTTTACAGCATTAATAGTTTGACATGTTTATAACATAAAATCACATGCTCTACTGAGCTTTTACAACAACAATGACAGACATATGATATAAACATGATATACACATTTGTGAGCATGCAAAATGATGATCATATATAGCCAAGCAGTCAGTTGCAGCACTGCTGAAAGCATAACTTTTTAACAAAGTAGAAGCATATGCATTTGAAATATGTAAAATAGCTGGTCGAGCATGCATGACAGTGACAATTGTGGTGTGATTGACGATAAAACAACATACCAGCATAAGACAAAAGGACAAGGAAGTAAACAACTACATGTTGCTGTATGACCTTCAACAATAAGCAAAACTCAGTGTAAAAGGCCCTGGATAACAAAATATGACACATTATTACAGAGGGTAATTGAGGCATGATTTAAGCTCAAAATATAAAAAAAAATTGTTGTAGGGGTTAAACATGTATATAAGTATATATTTTCCTTTTATTTCAGTAAAATTTTAGAGCAGAGGGATGAAGTATACAAACAAACAGCTGAATATCTTCAATTAAAAACAGTTATAGAAACAATTAAGGTATTATGCTCAATGACCTTATACTATCAATACTATACTATGATCTACTTTAGGAATATAATGTTATTGATAATAGGCAAAACAGATAATCATTTGCAGCCATTTTGGTCACAGAAAGCTCTTTTGGATTCCCTTGAAAATATCTAGCCTAACCTGAGTCTGAGGCGATCTTCCTATAATACTGTGTGAAATGAAGATTTGAACTATGAAAAATTGAATTGAAAATGGACATTTTGCCATCAATAAACCAATAGTGAATTATTTTAAATAATTTAGAAATTGCTTAAGTCCCTTTTGAAAACCTGCCATAAGAAATTTTAAAGAAGAAGTTCATCTATCCAGTTGGGCTGGTAGACATAAGGCATTGATACTTTGAAAAAGTCGACAAGATATAAGTTAGGAAAATGAAAATAATTTCATGTTTAAAAAAGTAAAAAAGTTCAATGTCAGCACAATATCAAACTACACTTAACCATGACTAAACATGATGATTGATGATATTTGATAAATTTCTTGACCAGGGAAGTGGTAATATGTCAATAAGGTCAAGGTCACAAAAAATATAGAATGCACATGAAAATCACCTTCATGTATACTGATGCATCCATAATCATATGCTAAGTAAGTTAGGTGGACAAAGTTGGTGTGGCTTAGACAAGCATGAAAGGTAAAAATATCAGTCTATTGATGATTACCTTAACCTTTCAAGTTAATTCAAATATGATCGGTACATCCTCAGAATAAGCATTATCTACCAAAGATATTATTAGATTAAAAAACCTTTGTGAGCACGCTAACATACCCCACACCCCCACATTGTCACTGGGCAAAAAAATCTCACCCAATTCCTAAGTTCAAAGACTAATAACTCCTACAAAAGTCAACTTGTGGATTTGCATATTTTCATATTATGTCCTTAATATCTACACAGTTTCGTGAAATTCCTTTGAATGGTTTCAGAGGAGTTGCAATGACAAACTGCTTCAGTAGTATATTTAGGCAAATATTCTAAGTTCAAAGAGGCAAAACTCCTAGAAAAAAAATTATAAATCAAAATTTCCTGTCGATATGCACATCTACATAGAGCTTCCTAAACTATAAAGTTTCATGAAATTCTGTTGTGTGGCTTCAGAGGAGTTGCGATGACAAACTGTTGCAGTAGTATATTTAGGCCAAAATTCTAAGTTCAGAAAGGCATAACTCCTAGAAAAAAAATTGAATCATAACTTCTTGTCGATATGCACATCTACATATTATGTCGTCATTGTCTACAAGGTTTCATGAAATTCAGTTGTGTGGTTTCAGTGGAGCTGCGATGACAAGAACAGGACTGATGGATGGAAGGACTGACGGACAGGTCAAAAACATTATACCCTAAGGAACAAAGTTCTGTGGGGTATAAATATAATTATGGTTCATAATTCATAAGATGAGAAAATCAGAAATTTCAAAAGAATATCTCCTTAAAGTAACTAAAAATTTAAGCTTTCTCTAGCTCCATGAGGGGAGTTAATGACTCTATAAAGGTAAAAAATATTTTTCAATAAATAATTCAGAAACCAAATTTTCTAATAATCAATTGAGTATTCCTCTGCTCTATAAAGACATCATCTACTTTAGTTTAGTAAGGATCTTATTAATGAGTCAAAACATATAAATGTAAAACAAAACAGACCAGTAAACATAGGATGTCATTTCATTTCATGTACCTAAAAACAAGATGGTCTAATAATAAATTATTATAACATGCTAAAATGACAGGAAAGAAACATCAATTGGATGGTACCTGGGTTATTGTTGTTTAAATAATGACAACAATGAAGTTTAACTGTACTGATAAGAAAGCTTACTGGTATAATGCTTAAATTGCTTTTCATTAATTAAGAATGATTTTTTTTTCTTTTTTATAGCAAACAGATTACAAAAAAGAAGAATTAAAGACAAAGATAGATTTAGGATGTAACTTTTATGTTCAAGCTAGAGTGTAAGAATGAATAACATTTCCTGGCATTAAATAAGCGCCAACAAGAGGGTTGAGCAGCAGTATGTTAGGGGACAACCGTTTAATTTTGAGGGGGTGCCTGGCAAATTTGACGAGGTCGGAATATTTTATTTCCAACATAAAGGTGGCCAGATTATTTATGTTCACTCAGACCACGGCCAGAATATTTATTTTCTGCTCATCCCCAAATTGACACAAAATCTGCCCCTCCTTGCCACCACTCAGAATGAACTTTTTGCCCTTAAAGTAATTTATCTTTTGTGATACAGATTACCTTATAGGATACACATACAACTTCAAACAAAAAAAGCAGTCAAAATGAAGTCTCGAATATATACTCTTATTAATATGAAAATATAATAATATTACAATCGAGGGTGGGTCCAAGGAAAGAAGTGTGTTATTATCCAAAATGGAAAAATTTTCTGGCGAGGTAGCAAGTTAATTTTTTTTATGCCCCCGCCGAAGCGGAGGGGGCATTTAAGTTTTACCCTTGTCCATCCATACGTACGTCCCAAAATTGGTTTCCGTTCTCTAACTTAAGTTTGCCTCAACCAAATGTTATCAAACTTATACACAATGCTTATTACCACAAAACACAGATCAATTTGAATTTTGGTGGCGTCACTTTAACCGTTCTAGAGTTATGCCCCTTTATAAATGGAAAAATTTCCGTTCTCTAACTTAAGTTTGCCTCATCCAAATATATGAAACTTATACACAATACTTAATACCACAATACACAGATCAAGTTTGAATTTTGGTGGCGTCACTTTTACTGTTCTAGAGTTATGCCCCTTTACAAATGGAAAAATTCCTAAATTTCTCATTTTTTTTTCCAAAAATATCAATGTCATTATTCAAGTAATTTTTAAAATTGGAGTTATCTTCCTTTGTCCATGATTATAGTTAAATCAACTACAATCAATGCTTTATACAATGCAATGTTTAATTTTGCCTTCCACTGATAAAACACAGATCAAGTTGAATTTGGGTAGTGTCACTTTAACCATTATTGAGTTATGCCCCTTTATAAATCGAAAAATTGCATAATTTTTAGTTTCCATTCTGTAACTTAAGTTTGCCCCAACCAAACATTATGATACCTATACACAATACTCATTACCACAAAACTAAGATCAAGTACAAATATTGTTTCCGTTCTCTAACTTTAGTTTGCCTCAACCAAATGTTATGAAACTTATACACAATGCTTATTACTACACAATACAGATTAAGTACGAAATTCGGTGGCGTCACTTTTACCATTCTTGAGTTATGTCCCTTTATAAACATAAAAATTGCTGAATTTTTCGTTTCCATTCTCTAACTTTAGTTTGTCTCAACCATATGTTATAAAACTTACACACAACCGTTCTAGAGTTATGCGTGTTTACAAATAGAAAAATTGCTGAATTTTTTGGTTTCTGTTCTCTACTCTAGTTAGCCTCAACCAAATGTTATGAGACTTGCACACAATGCTTATTACTGTACCACAAAACTCAGATCAAGTTCAAATTTGGGTAGTGTCACTTTTACCGTTCTTCAGTTATGTCCCTTTATAACTATTATGATATGCAAGAGGGGGCATCATCCACATTTATTTTGCAAAGATTTCATAAAAAATAAAAATAAAGAAAATTTACATTTATATAATTTTTAATGGATATGTATAGAATAATACATGGCAAAATTCGTATCGCTTGCTGTATGACCACTCAACCAATATCAGCCCTTGGGGCCTTTGGCCCTCTGGACTGATATTGGTTCCTCTTGATGACGCAGCATAAAATATGGATTTGCCAGGTATTATTCTATACATATCCATTAAAGATTATATAAATGTAAATATTTTTTATAGACATACCAAACTTGGTACAGAGGTTGAAGGATAATAAATTACAACATGATCTCCATCACTTTTTGTAAAACAAACACAAACCAGGGACATATATACATATATATATATATATGTGTATATATATGTTCTCTGCACAAACTATTAAAAAATTGTTCCAAAGCAATCTTCTTTCATGGGAAGGTGTTAGAGTTGACAGAAGTCATAGCTTTTTTACAGGGTTCTTTTATAGGCAGGGTATTTATGTTTTGCAGATACATCAGTTAATTGAAATATGAGGCAAAGTATTTAAGTATGGATTCCATAGTGAGTACACATTCTATCTTTAGGATTAAATTCCCTACTAGGATTCAAAATAGTTTACTCTTAATTACTTGAATAAATAATTTGAGAGTTTATTTAGGTTGGGTTTAATTTGCTAAAATTTCAATTAACTTATGAATGTATTAAGACGGAAAAAAAAGTCAATTTACATGTGTTAATGTTTAAAACAGTTGGAATTTATTTTGCAGACCTGACACATCAATGATATTTCTTAATATTGGATTTGGGTTTTATGTAGAACTTACCCATGATGAAGCATTGAAGTTTATTACAAGGAAAACAGATAATTTAAATGAAAAAGCAGAGATCCTGACAAAAGATGCCACATCAGTAAAAGCTCACATAAAATTAGTATTAGAGGTAACAAAATCAACATTCTGTTCTGTTTTCTACATTACTGTTAATACTATCAATCTGCTAATCTGTGATGTACATTGGATGGGTTGCTATTTTCGTGGAAATAAGCTTTACTGTGTTTTTTTAACCGAAAGAGCAAAGTTAACGGTTTCTTTTGGTGTCACTCTATTGATCAGATCCTTCAATTTCCTGTTTTTAGTTACAGATTCAGGTTTATGTGTGTGTGGGGGGGGGGGGGGGGGGGGGGGGGAGCTGACATTCTGTCTAACATGTAACCTGAAATATAGACCTCCAAGCACAATATCAGTTGAAAACATATCTAAACAGCAAAAAAATAGAAGAAAAAAGGAAAGCATTTGACTGACATCTTTTAATATTAACTTTTTAAAAATTATTTTCAGTTAAATTACCTTACTTACTTACTTGGATGTATAACCTGCCACATTCTTTGTTTGCCTGTCCCAGGTTGGGAGCCTGTGGTTCTGTGGTTATCATAGGTTCATGTCTGTGTAATTTTTTGTTGTAAAGAACGCAGTTGGTTTTCTTGTTTGAATTTTTTCACATTTTTCATGTTGGCGCCTTTAAAGCAGACAATACGGTATGGGTTTTTCTCATTGTGGAAGGCAATAAGGTAGCCTATAACTGCTAACATCCACTTCGTTTGAACTCTGGTAAATAGTTGTCTCATTGGCAATCATACCACATCTTCTTATTTTTATATATGTACTCTTTGTGCATTTTTGCACATGAGGCTATCAGTTGAAAATGTACCTTTTTATACGCCCGTTTACGGGACGTATTATGGTATACCGTTGTCCGTCCGTCCGTCTGTCCGTCCGTCTGTCCGTCGTCAACATGTCGGACATTAACTCAAAAATGATTTAACCAATTTGCATAAAACTTTGGTGAATTGTTTATATCTATTGACGTGAGCTCCCTTTCGTTTTTAATAAAATTTAGATTTTACGTTTCCGAGTTATGGGGTTTTATTCATTAAAAAAAGGGGGATTTTCCAGTTTTTGGACAATAATTCAAGAATACTTTCACCAACTTGCAAGAAATTGTGGTGAATTGTTTATATCTATTGACATGAGCTCCCTTTCAATTTTTATAAATTTTAGATTTTACGTTTCCGAGTTGCAGGGTTTTATTCATGAAAAAAGGGGGGATTTTCCAGTTTTTGGACAAAAACTCAAAAATGCTTTCAGCAATTCTAATGAAACTTTGGGGAATTGTTTGTATGTATTGATGTAAGCTCCCTTTAGAATTTTATAAATTTTACATTTTACATTTCTGAGTTATGGGGTTTTATTCATTAAAAAAAGGGGTGATTTTCCAGTTTTCGGACAATAACTCAAAAATTCTGTCACCAATTCTCATGAAACTTTGGTGAATTGTTTATATCTATTGATGTAAGCTCCCTTTTTATTTTCATAAATTTCTAATATGACATTGAGAATTAATTGAACTTTATTTGTTTATAGTCTGACAACAGATTTACTAAGTATTGCACAACAGCAAGAAATCTTTAATTGAATATAAATTCAATTCATATAACCAATTTCAAGATCTTTGACTACATTTATTCAGAAACCTATAATATGTCAAATATTTAATTACAATCCAAATTTGGACCTGAATCAAGCTTGAATATTGTGTCCATTTTTGTCCCAACTGTTCAGGGTTGGACCTCTGCGGGCGTATCTAGCTGCGCTCAGCGAAGCAGTTTATTAATAAGAGAAAGTGGCATGGAACTGTCTAATGTCCAATTGAAGTCATACTTGTAGTCTGAAGCAAGAAATAATTACTTAATCATCACAAGTACTAATTACTGTCAGATCAAATTCAAACAAACATGATCTACTGATATAAAATTCAATTAAGTGGACTAAATAAACCAGAAATTGTTCACATCTTGTTTGTTGCAATAAAGTTTATTTATTTTTTCAGGGTTTAAGAGAACTACAACAGATACCAAGGGAACCTGAGAAAAAGCCATATAGAGATGTGTTATCTTGAATTAAGATGACATACAATTGTTAACTTAACAGAAACCTCTCCTGTAATAAAGGATGAGAATATTAGGTCTAGTCTCCAAGCATTTGACCTATCTACTATTTTGTAAAGAAGCATGTAAAATCAGATGTCAAATAAAAAATATTATGAAATAAATGCATTAGTCAATAAAATATTAGCATCCTAGAAAAAAGGCAACAATAGTTTACTGATGTATAAATCTATTGAGAAGATAGAAACCAAGGTAAAAAAACTTAAACTGAGGGAACAGCATGAACTTCAAAAGGAGCGAGAACTGGCGCGTAGACAGGTTAAGCATCTCCTGGCATGGGAATTCATACTCAGCCAAAATATCTCAATCTGGAATAGGACCAATTTTAAATTACTAAATAGACGACTATTCTAATATTTCAAGATCTAAGACCATGAAAACATGCCATTTGGTGAGTTGAGATACAGACACATCCTATTGGTCAGCTAATTGGTTATGGTCACAGTCAAACTTAGGATGTGTCAATTTCAGTTGCTCTCCCTCATAACTCTGTTGGAGCAGTTTTTGCCTTAGGAGAACTGGGATTGTTTAGTTTCAATTCCTAGATTGGATAATCATTCAATTTTCAATGCCTAACAATATTCCTAATTGGAAGGAGTTGAGTGAGAGTATTTTTCTCACAGTTCTATGAAGACAGCCCTTATAATTTTGGGACGACACAAAAGTAACAAACTAGAAACTGTCTATGGGGATCATCATTAAATCAGGAATTTTATTTCAAATTGCTAATTTTTTCAGGTTTTGAAGGGTTTCCCTGTAATTTTGGATAACGTTTAAAAGTGTTTCCAAGTTTTTAAGTGTTTCCCAAATATGTAGGATCAGGTTTAAAAAAGATTTCCCAATATTGTTGGATCAAGTTTTTAAGGTGTTAATCATTTCATACACCAAATATAGCTGATCTACTGCATATTGTATCTGAGAAATAGACCTAAAAAGATAACTTAATATTGACCAATGAACCATGAAAACAATTTCAAAGTCAGATGAACCCTGCCAGGCAGACATGTACAAGCATTGAACAATCAAAATGAGATAAGGTCGGATGAACCCTGTCAGACGGAATGTACACCTTACAATCATTTCATACACTGAATATAGTTAACCACTGCTTCTTGTATCTGAGAAAAGTTCCAATCACAAAAAGTTTACCTTGATTACTGATCCATGATATGATGCCAAGGTCAGGTGGACAAGAAGACCTTGCAAGGAATCCATATACTAAATATATTCAAGGTCAAAGAATGGATATATGCTAGAATGAAACTTTGTAACATAAGGCATCTATATACAAGGTATGCAACATTCAAGACTTTCCGTATGCTTTCTGAAATATAAAGCTTTATACAAATTGCTTGCTTTGTGGTATGGGTTTTGCACATTGTTGAAGGCTGTAAGTTGACCTATAGTTGCTAAACATCTACATCATTTGGTCTCTGGTGGAAAGTTGTCTCATTGGCAATCATACCACATCTTATTTTTATATGCCTGGCCTACTGGATTTGCATCATTATGTCTCCCATTCTACAACTTTCTTTGCAAGAGTGACAATAATAAAATTATCATTTGATTGAGATGAGTGGATAAAAATTCTGAGTAAGTTAAGGAATAATGAAACAGTATACTAAGTCTATAGTTTATAGATCTTTTGTATAGTTATTGCACAGCATCAGTACTTTTTTCATGAATTTCTTTAAATTTTGATAAATCTTGACATAAACCTATGGAATTCTTCTTAACTACTTAAAAAGAGTAATATTGTGTAATGGAGAAATTTCAGTATAAAAAGAGTAATGATTGTCAGGGCTTTATAATGCTCTTTGCAACTCATTAAATACTCATATTAATTGAACATCAATGTCTAAAATGCATTTTGTTATGTTCTCTTTCCTTCCACATAATAAATTAACACATCACATTATGTAAAGAACAAAACTTCCATTGGAAATAAAGTTATAGAAAATAAATGTACCTTTTGATCATATGGACTTAAAAACTTGTTTCTGTAGAGGGAAAAAAAATTGGAAAAGCGACATCTGCAGCATTCTGAACTAAAATAAACAAACATTTGTTGATATTGATATGACTCATTTGCTGATATTGATATGACTCATTTATTCATTTAAATGAAATCCATTGTGGTGACCTTAAATAAAATGGTTTCCTATTTCACGAACCTTTTCAATGGATTGTGTAACTAATGAGATCAAACACGCCAAAATTACTAACTCTTATGTACTCAATGTTTCATTCCTTTACTTTTAGATTAAATCTATGAATTGGATAGTCTACAGTCTACACAATAGATTCAATCTGCAGAAAATCCTTTAAGTTTGAGAGATTCCATCCAATCCAAACATTTCACATTTATACCGCCATCCTTTGTGATTGCTTTGATTTTTCCATCTGTGCCAGACAGATAGCCTGAAAAGATAGTTTACACCTATATGGTCATATAGAAAAATCAGTAAACTTAGCCTTTAGATGACACTTGTTAAGGTTGCACATGTGTAAAATAGACAACACAATTTCCAAATAGAAATCCTATTAGACCTAAAACTGTGACACTTTTGCTATGAAGTTTCATAAAAGTTGATCATGATAAATTTCTTATTATAAGATAATACTTATATTTTTATATGCCCGTTTACGGGACATATTATGGTATACTGTTGTCCGTCGTCAACATGTCGGACATTAACTCCAAAACGCTTTAACCAATTTGCATAAAACTTTGGTGAATTGTTTATATCTATTGACATGAGCTCCCTTTCGTTTTTTATAAATTTTAGATTTTATGTTTCCGAGTTATGGGGTTTTATTCATTAAAAAAAGGGGGATTTTCCAGTTTTCAGACAATAACTCAAGAATGCTTTCACCAACTTGCAAGAAATTTTGTTTAATTGTTTATATCTATTGACATGACCTCCCTTTTGATTTTTATAAATTTTAGATTTTATGTTTCCGAGTTACGGGGTTTTATTCATAAAAAAAAGGGGGATTATCCAGTTTTCGGACAAAAACTCAAAAATGCTTTCAGCAGTTCTCATGAAACTTTGATGAATTGTTGATATCTATTGATGTAAGCTCCCTTTAGAATTTTATAAATTTTAGATTTTACATTTCCGAGTTATGGGGTTTTATTCATTAAATAAAATGCTCCGCAGGGCGCAGCTTGATACGACCGCAGAGGTCGAACCCTGAACAGTTGGGGCAAGTATGGACACAGCATTCAAGCTTGATACAGCTCTGAATTCGGATTGTGATTAAATATTTGACACAGCATAGGTTTCTGACACAGAATGAATGTGGTCTAAGAACTTAAAAATTTTAAATTGGACATTCACCTATTATGGTCCAATATCCAAAATCTAAATACATGGTTAGATTCAGCATATCAAAGAACCCCAAGAATTCAATTTTTGATGAAATCAAACAAAGTTTAATTTTGGACCCTTTTGATCTCATTGTGGACAAAGTTGATAACGGGGCCCAAAAATCAAAAATCTAAATACATGGTTAGATTCAGCATATCAAAGAACCCCATATATTCAATTTTTGTTGAAATCAAACAAAGTTTAATTTTGGACCCCGATTTGGACCAACTTGAAAACTGGGCCCATAATCAAAAATCTAAATACATGTTTAGATTCAGCATATCAAAGAACCCTAAAAATTCAATTTTTGTTAAAATCAAACTAAGTTTAAATTTGGACCCTTTGGACCTTTATGTAGACCAATTTGAAAACGGAACCAAAAATTAAGAATCTAAATACACGGTTAGATTCGGCATATCAAAGAACCCCAATAATTCAATTTTTGATGAAATCAAACAAAGTTAAATTTTGGACCCTTTGGACCTCAATGTGGACCAATTTAAAAACGGGGCCTAAAATCCAAAAACTTAATACACGGTTAGATTCAGCATATTAAAGATCCCCAAGAATTCAAGAATAGAACCCCATTGAAATTGATCAAGAAATAAGCAATTTATATGAAGTATCTTCTTTTGCAATTGAATATTTCTTGCTATTGCGCAATACTGTACAATTGACAATTTCTTGCTATTGCGCAATATTGTGCTATTGGATATTTCTTGCTATTGCGCAACACTGTGCAATTGAAGATTTCTTGCTATTGCACAATACTGTGCAATTGAAGATTTCTTGCTATTGTGCAATACTGTGCAATTGAAAATTTCTTGCTATTGCACAATACTTATTATATAATAATTTACACATCCTGTTTGGTGTGTATCTCCTACCATATCATTATTATTTGCTTTTAAATATAAATCAGAAATAACCAACTTAAAATGAAAAATTTTAAAAGAAAAAAAAAGGAAAATAAAAAAAAATAAAAAAAAAAAATCCCCCCCCCCAAATTTTTTGAACCCCCTTATGATTCATCACCCCCAAACTCAATCCCAGCCTTCCCTTTGTGGTATGGTACCTTGCAGTACAATTTCAGAGAGATCCATACACTTGAACACAAGTTATTGTCTGGAAACTAGAAAAATGCTTATTTTTGGCCCCTTTTTGGCCCCCAATCCCTAAACGTTTACCCCAAAACTCAATTCCAGCTTTCCCTTTGTGATATGGAACCTTGTAGTACAATTTCAGAAATATCCAAACACTTACACACAAGTTATTGTCATGAAACTAGAAAAATGCTTGTTTTTTGCCCCTTTTTTTGGCCCCTAATTTCTAAAATTTTGAGGCAATTACCCCCAAAATCAATTACAGCCTTCCCTTTGTGATATGGAACCTTGTGGTACAATGTCAGAGAGATCCATACACTTACACACAAGTTAATGTCTGGAAGTTACAAAAATGCTTATTTTTGGCCCCTTTTTGGCCCCTAATTCCTTAACTGTTGGTACCATACCCCCCAAAATCAATCCCCACCTTCCTTTCGTGGTATTGAACCTTATGGTAAAATTTCATGGAGATCTATTCACTTAAACTAAAGTTAGAGTGCGAAAACCAATGTGTCTTCGGACGACGCCGGACGACGCCAGATGACGACGACGACGCCAACGTCATACCAATATACGACCAAAAAATTTTTAATTTTTGCGGTCGTATAAAAAGGGGGGATTCTCCAGTTTTCAGACAATAACCCAACCAAAAATGCTTTCAGCAATTCTTATGAAACTTTGGTGAATTGATTATATCTATTGATGTAAGCTCCTATTAGAATTTTATAAAATTTATTTGTTTATAGTCTGACAACAGATTTACTAAGTATTGCGCAACAGCATAGTGTATTGCACAACAGCAAGAAATTTTTAATTTAATATAAATTCAATTCATATAACCAATTTCAAGTTCTTTGACTACATTTATTCAGAAACGTATAATATGTCAAATATTTAATCACAATCCAAATTCAGACCTGTATCAAGCTTGAATATTGTGTCCATTTTTGCCCCAACTGTTCAGGGTTGGACCTCTGCGGGCGTTTCCAGCTGCACTCAGCGAAGCAGTTTATTAATTTATAATTTTATGCATTTGTTTTATTTGTTTTGTTAATATGTCATCAAAACCTGAGGGTATATATGCGCAATAAAGGAGATTTTAAAAAATAAACTTTAATAAATTGCTTCGCTGAGCGCAGCTGGGTACGACCGCAGATGTCCAACCCTGAAAAGTTGGGCCATAATGGACACAATATTCACGCTTGATACAGGTCTGAATTTGGATTGTAACTTAATTTTTGACACATAATAGGTTTCAAACACAGAATAACTGTAGTCAAAGAACTTCAAATTGGTTATATGATTTAAATTTATATTCAATTTATTGCTTTTGTGCAATACACTATGCTGTTGCGAATTGAAATCTGAAATGAGAAAAATTGCCCCCCCCCTCCAATTTTTTTCACCTCCCCCTTTCCCTTATTCCCCAAAAAAATTCTTTCCCTCAAGATATGGTCAGTGTCTCAATTTAAATTTCTAATGCAGTTTGCAACCAAAATTACCCATTTAAATACATCATAAAAGTTTTAAAATATAAAATGACATACATAGTCATGGCTAAAATTAATATTAATTAATAGTAACTGCTAAAAATAAATTGACAGCTAATCACCTCAAGACAATCATCATTTCTTAATACATAATTTACAAGCAGTGTAAGGGAGGTAATCAAACAGTGTTCTTTAATTTGAATTGGATTACCTCCCTTACCCTGCTTTTAAATTGTCTCAATTGTCCTTTAACCAGAAAAACCCTTGTTTTTCCCCTTTTTTTGCCCCTAATTACTAAATGGTTTGAGCCATAACCCCCCAAAGTCAATCCTAACCATCCCTTTGTTGTATGGAAGTTTGTGGTATAATTTCAGAGAGATTCATACACTTTAACACGAGTTATTGTCTGGAAACTACAAAAATGCTTATTTGGGCCCCTTTTTTGGCCCCTAATTTCTAAACAGTTGGGACCATAACCCCCAAAATCAATCCTAACCTTCCTTTAGTGGTTATAAACCTTGTATTAAAATTTTATTGATTTCTATTTACTTATACTAAAGTTATTATCCGGAAACCGTCTGTCTTCGGACGACGCTGACGACAACGACGATGACGTGATACCAATATACCAGTATAAACATTATATGCTGGAATTAGAAACTTTTTAGGCAACAGTCAAAATATAGTGTTGTGCTGCATTTTTCACCATTCAAATGCCTTCATTCCCTTACAATTGAAACAAAAACTAAAATTATTTACGGGCATCGGTGGCAAAGTGGTCTAGGTAGTCGAACTACTGTATCGCTAGCCTGTCAACCTTGAGGTTGTGAGTTTGAATCCTGCTCGTGGCAGGTGCGCTTGACTCCAATCTTAATTGACTAGGATAGTCAGTTTTCCTACTGATGGTTGGTGGTTCTCTCCGGGCACTACAGCTTCCTATGACCACCACAAAATAGCACAATAGTGCTGAAGGTGGCATTAAACACCAATCAATCAATAAATAAAAATGTTTACCACCCCTTTGCTTTTCTTTAGGTCTCAATGATAATTTACTTTGGAACAATTGTACATTGCAATTTGCTTGGGTAAGTTACAATGAAACAGCATCCCAAAAGCTAAAAAAAAAAAACTTGCACTTGCATGGTGTAATGGTTTTTAACTGTACATTAATGAACCAAAACCTCTACAATACATGTACATTGAAGGAAAAGATTTATTAATTTTATCTTTATTAACAGGAAGAAAATCAAAGCTTGTCAAGATTGTCTCCTGTTCAATAGCTAGTACAATGTACAGATTAATTTGAGTTTCTGAAAATGTACATATATTGTTTTTATCCTGCAATCTGTACCTTGAGTGTTGCTTTTTTTCTTCAAACAAATCAATATTGCTAGGTGAAACATGAAAAGGAAACCATCATTTATAATTCATAAATAATAATTTAAATATGACTGTTTCATCATAAAAGAGTCATGACATCAGGAGACAATCTTGTTTACTATAGGAATTTAGTTAAATAAAATGCTCCGCAGGGCGCAGCTTGATACGACCGCAGAGGACGAACCCTGAACAGTTGGGGGAAGTATGGACACAACATTCAAGCTTGATACAGCTTTGGATTTGGATTGTGATTAAATATTTGACACAGCATAGGTTTCTAACACATATTGAATGTGGTCTAAGAACTTAAAAATTTTAAATTGGACATTCACCTATTATGGTCCAATATCCAAAATCTAAATACATGGTTAGATTCAGCATATCAAAGAACCCCAAGAATTCAATTTTTGATGAAATCAAACAAAGTTTAATTTTGGACCCTTTTGACCTCAATGTGGACAAAGTTGATAACGGGGCCCAAAAATCAAAAATCTAAATACATGGTTAGATTCAGCATATCAAAGAACCCCATATATTCAATTTTTGTTGAAATCAAACAAAGTTTAATTTTGGACCCCGATTTGGACCAACTTGAAAACTGGGCCCATAATCAAAAATCTAAATACATGTTTAGATTCAGCTTTTCAAAGAACCCTAAGAATTCAATTTTTGTTAAAATCAAACTAAGTTTAATTTTGGACCCTTTGGACCTTAATGTAGACCAATTTGAAAACGGAACCAAAAATTTAAGAATCTAAATACACGGTTAGATTCGGCATATCAAAGAACCCCAATAATTCAATTTTTGATGAAATCAAACAAAGTTTAATTTTGGACCCTTTTGACCTCAATGTGGACAAAGTTGATAACGGGGCCCAAAAATCAAAAATCTAAATACATGGTTAGATTCAGCATATCAAAGAACCCCATATATTCAATTTTTGTTGAAATCAAACAAAGTTTAATTTTGGACCCCGATTTGGACCAACTTGAAAACTGGGCCCATAATCAAAAATCTAAATACATGTTTAGATTCAGCATATCAAAGAACCCTAAGAATTCAATTTTTGTTAAAATCAAACTAAGTTTAATTTTGGACCCTTTGGACCTTAATGTAGACCAATTTGAAAACGGAACCAAAATTTAAGAATCTAAATACACAGTTAGATTCGGCATATCAAAGAACCCCAATAATTCAATTTTTGATGAAATCAAACAAAGTTTAATTTTGGACCCTTTTGACCTCAATGTGGACCAATTTAAAAACGGGGCCCAAAATCCAAAAACTAAATACACGGTTAGATTCAGCATATTAAAGAACCCCATGAAATCAAGAATAAAACCCCATTGAAATTGGTCAAGAAATAAGCAATTTATAGGAAGTATCTTCTTTTGCACAATCCTGTGCTATTAAATATTTCTTGCTATTGCGCAATACTGTACAATTGACAATTTCTTGCTATTGCGCAATATTGTGCTATTGGATATTTCTTGCTATTGCGCAATACTGTGCAATTGAAGATTTCTTGCTATTGCGCAATACTGTGTAATTGAAGATTTCTTGCTATTGTGCAATACTGTGCAATTGAAAATTTCTTGCTATTGCACAATACTTATTATATAATAATTTACACATCCTGTTTGGTGTGTATCTCCTACCATATCATTATTATTTGATTTTAAATATAAATCAGAAATAACCAACTTAAAATGGAAAATTTTAAAAGAAACAAAAAAGGAAAAAAAGAAAAAAAAGGAAAAAAAAAATAAATCCCCCCCCAAAATTTTTTGAACCCCCATTATGATTCATCACCCCCAAACTCAATCCCAGCCTTCCCTTTGTGGTATGGTACCTTGCAGTACAATTTCAGAGAGATCCATACACTTGAACACAAGTTATTGTCTGGAAACTAGAAAAAAATGTGTTTTTTGGCCCCTTTTTGGCCCCAAATTCCTAAACGTTTAGGGCAATTACCCCCAAACTCAAACCCAGCTTTCCCTTTGTGATATGGAACCTTGTAGTACAATTTCAGAAAGATCCATACACTTACACACAAGTTATTGTCATGAAACTAGAAAAATGCTTGTTTTTTGCCCCTTTTTTTGGCCCCTAATTCCTAAAATTTGGAGGCAATTACCCCCAAAATCAATCCCAGCATTCCTTTAGTGATATGGAACCTTGTGGTACAATGTCAGAGAGATCCATACACTAACACACAAGTTATGTCTGGAAGTTACAAAAATGCTTATTTTTGGCCCCTTTTTGGCCCCTAATTCCTTTACTGTTATTACCATAACCCCCAAAATCAATCCCAACCTTCCTTTTGTGGTATTGAACCTTGTGGTAAAATTTCATAAAGATCCATTCACTTAAACTAAAGTTAGAGTGCGAAAACCAATGTGTCTTTGGACGACGCCGACGACGACGACGCCAACGTCATACCAATATACGACCACAAAAATTTTTTTGCGGTCGTATAAAAAGTTACATAAAAATCTTGATTTTTATTTCGAAATAAAACTGTACAGACAATTGCAATTATCAAACACATTGACTGGAAGAGTAATACAAACACATGGCCTCTTAGGACCTTTGTTACAGAACACATAAAACTTTCCTTGTTAACATATTGTTGTAGTTTAATAATACCATTTCTGCAATCACATTAAATCAATCTCTCATTGTAAACAGTTTCATAAGAATAAGTTGAAAGCATTATTATAAATTTTAAAATTAACAATGCTTTCATTTATCCTATTCAAATGCCAAATTTTGTAAAAAATAATGATTTAATAATGAGAGATTTGAATTGCAAAATGATATATTCCTCTTACCTACCCTTCAGTGCAATATAATTTAGATTATGTACATAAATACCTAGAGATTTGAATAACTGCAAACCAAAGTTACTCAGTAAACTTTAACTTAAGTAAGGCAAACCAAAATTGTTTTTAGTACATATACAAATTATGCACAAACCTGAAAGTTTTTCTTTATTCTTGATAGATTCTGTCTTCTTTTCAATTATATTAAGTTTTTGATCACAAGTTACACTGTTCCCTTCTAAATCAAGTGAGGTAGAAGTTTCAGGGATTTTAATATTGATATCACCTACAACATAAACACAAGTTATCATGGTTTCAATAATGTTTACCCACTATTTAATCACATATTTTTATACGGTATTCTACTTAACAAAATAAACTTAACCATCTTGCTATAAAGTTAAAAAAAATAAACTGCTTCGCTGAGCGCAGCTGGATAGGCCCGCAGAGGTCCAACCCTGAACAGTTGGGGCAAAAATGGACACAATATTCAAACTTGATACAGGTCTGAATTTGGATTGTAATTAAATATTTGACATATTACAGGTTTCTGAATAAATGTAGTCAAAGAACTTGAAATTGGTTATATGAATTGAATTTATATTCAATTAAAGATTTCTTGCTGTTGTGCAATACACTGTGCTGTTGCGCAATACTTAGTAAATCTGTTGTCAGACTATAAACAAATAAAGTTCAATTAATTCTCAATGTCATATTAGAAAATTATGAAAATCAAAAGGAGCTTACATCAATAAATATAAACAATTCACCAAAGTTTCATGGGAATTGCTGACAGCATTTTTGAGTTATTGTCAGAAAACTGGAAAATCCCCCTTTTTTAATGAATAAAACCCAATAACTCAGAAATGTAAAATGTAAAATTTATAAAATTCTAAAGGGAGCTTACATCAATAGATATAAACAATTCACCAAAGTTTCATAAGAACTGCTGAAAGCATTTTTGAGTATTTGTCCGAAAACTGGAAAATCCCCCTTTTTTTTAATAAAACCCTACAACTCGGAAACGTAAAATCTAAAATTTATAAAAATCGAAAGGGAGCTCATGTCAATAGATATAAACAATTCACCACAATTTTTTTGCAAGTTGGTGAAAGTATTCTTGAGTTATTGTCCGAAAATTGGAAAATCCCCCTTTTTTTAATGAATAAAACCCCATAACTCTGAAACATAAAATCTAAAATTTATAAAAAACGAAAGGGAGCTCACGTCAATAGATATAAACAATTCACCAAAGTTTTATGCAAATTGGTTAAAGCATTTTTGAGTTAATGTCCGACATGTTGACGACGGACGGACAGACGGACGGACGGACAGACGGACGGACGGACAGACGGACGGACGGACAGACGGACGGACGGACAGACGGACAACGGTATACCATAATACGTCCCGTAGACGGGCGTATAAAAAGGTAACAGTTTTCAATGAGCCACATTTACCTGTTTCTGTTTCTATGGTTATAACATCAGGTCTAGAAATAAATATGTCTGTTGATCCATTATTTACTTTAGCCTCTAAACTACCATCAAGTGAATCTAAAATATATATCACAATACTGATCATCAAATGTTTGCAATTTGAAAGATATTCTTCTCTAAAACTTAGGTGGGTGTTTGGTTCCTTATTAAACCAAGGTAAGTACAAAAATAAAACCATTTTTGAAATTTTGATATATTCGTGCAAAGTGTAAAGATTATTCTTAAAAATTATTTCTTAAACAAGTTAACAATTGTCTGTGTAATATACCAAATTTACATTTAAATGCAGGTGGCACATTAGAAAGACAAGGGTAAAAGTGATTTTACAAATAATTCCCAGATTTCTGAGCTATAACATCAATGTTATTCAGAAATTTTGCAATGTTTTTATTATTGCGAAAAATTGTGACAAGATAGGTTTCAATTAATTAAAAACTCACATTTTTAATTTGAATGGCATTGTTTGTTTATAGCATTTCATGAAATTGCAATAAATTGTTTTCATGTTAATATTTAAAGTATTGACCTTGGCCTTGCAGAAAGACATTCCAAATATATTCAGACACTGTCTGGTGGTGGGCAAGGATTTGCATATTAAGAGTATTCTTACCCTAAAAATCCTTGTGGTGGGCACCAATAATTTCAAGCATCATTATCATCCTTCATAGCATTAAAAACTTAGGAGTCTACCTTTGCATATTGAAACTAAGTTTGTGACCATGCAGACAAACATTCCAACCTTTTATGTGATACACACTTTGGAAGTGGGCAACAATTATATCTAGTATCAAACTATTCTTCAATACTAGAATCATGTGCAAAACAGTGTAGACGAGACCATTGATTGGCGCGCTAAAATATCCAATTGACTGGGTCAGATTAGGTGAACGTTCGTCTGTAACGCCCACAACTCACGACGTATTTATCATAAACATTTAAACTGTGGGGTTGTCAAAGGGTCTCAGTATATATACGAACTACAGTGCACAGTATATTATATACATATTTTATTTGCGATCATAAAATGTACGAAGTCGTCCATTACTATGTAAATTGCGTTGATCAAAAAAAAAGCTGAATGTGTTACTGTTGCCAAGGGTTTTTCACAAGTAAGGTAGTTAGCAGAAAAGTTCACCAAACTATACATTTTACCTATTCAAAAACGTAAATGCAAATTTCACAAGGCTAGCTTGATCCAAATAGCTTTTTTACTGTCTAATAACTTGCAAGTACGAAAAAAGTATATTTTGTCTATATGTTTTGTGTTTGCACACTTTTTAAAGTTGATCATGCATTCGTTCTAAAATAAAATTTTGACCAGATAAAAGTTAAAAGATGACATAATTGGACAACTGCAATTGTTAAATCGCTTTGACGTCCGAAAAAAAGATAATAATCACACACATCCATTGTAACTAAATCCTTTTTTGCTGAAAGAACGTGCGATATCATAAAAATTGATTATCAAAACATAACAAAAACACAAGTAAAGAACGTTTAAGTATTCAATATAAATCAAAACACAAAGGTTATTCCTGATTAGTTTTTCGAATTATTTTATTTAGGCACTGAGACCCTTTGGCAACCCCACAGTTTAAATGTCTATAATAAATACGTCGTGAGTTGTGGGCGTTACAGACGAACGTTCACCTAATCTGACCCAGTCAATGGGATATTTTAGCGCGTCAATTAATGGTCTCGTCTACACTGTTTTGCACATGATTCTATCAAAAGTTCTTAGTTGTACACAACTGTATATTTCAATATGGGGATGTAAAGTTAAACTAACTTTGAGACCTTGACCCTGTAGACAAATAATAGAACCTAGTTTGCAACACATTCTCTGGTGGTGGACAACAATAATAACAAGTATTAATATCCATCAAGGCATTCAAAAGTTTTAAAAAATTGTGTATTTGAGAATTTCGTCTTTCTTCACTTCTAAATTTTCATTCACCTTTAATTTCAATGCATTTTTGTTAAATGAATGTTTAGTTTAAACTTACTTTATTGTTAAAAAAGGACAAACAGATTAGACACAAGTTTTTCAACTTAGCAAATTCTTCTCAAATACATACATAAATAAGAACATTACATATATCTGACTTTTAACAAATTACTTTTTTATTAAGCATGAAGATATAAAAATAAATTACATAGAAATTTGAAGAATGGAATCAATGGATTTTTTCTAGTAAATATAACTGGTGTGTCTTATTTTAGAATAAATAAATACAAACACCCCGAGCTGTGTAATATAAAAAATAATTGAATGTGCAAGGACAGCTTTAGTATTTCACACCACCCCTTATCATGATTGAATAGGTATAAAGAATTGTGACATTATTTTGGAATTGGTATAATGAATTGTGACATCATTATACATGTAATTACATGTACCTATAATAAGATTTCCTTTATTTACAGTTGTCTTTGATATACCATGAGTATTCATAAGATTTATGTTTCCATTGTTACATGTAAACTCTGAATCAGTACTATAAACAGAAGTTGCACTAATATTTCCTTCCTCAACAGTACATTTTATAGTCTGTCCTTGTATTCTGTCTGTTGAAATACTCTGAAAACAAAACAGAATATTTCTTAAAAATCCATAACATCTCATTTTTGTATGAATATGCATGTTCTTTTTTGTACATTGTATCACAATTGTTATAAATGTTTGAAAGTTGTGTCTGAAGTGCTTACCGGTAACCAAACTTTTTGGTAACCTTTTGTCTTACAAAATATTTCCTAACAGACTTTCAGTTGAAGAGTATGAAAAATTGTAATTTCTGCAAACAACTGGTGCACAATAACTAAACCATCATATATCTTACTTGTATTGTTTAAGGTCTACCAGGTGTCCCCCATCATCTTGGATTGTAAAATAAACTATCTGTCTTTATATTTGATGAAATGAGTAAATTTTGGGAAAGGAATGCAAATCATTTGTTAGACTTTTCATATAAATGAAGAACATGATGTTTATTATTACACATTATTTTCTTCAACTTTGCCATATAAGGGGAGATAACTTAGATAACTTTTAGGTGGTTTGTAAGCATATTTTAGAAATAACAAAATTAAAGCATGACTTATCTCCCTTTAACCATTTGCCAAGAAAACCTAACAAAAAAAACCAAACTATCAATGTTTAATATGAGGGCTAATGTCAGAATGGAACTGGTATTTTAAAAACACTTGTTTTTTTCTACAATGCTGCTAAGAACTAATAAATAACTAAATCAACAAATGACTATGAAATAATATGATGATTCATTATTTCAGTTATAAATATAGAAGGAAGGCTATTTAACATCCAGTGGCAAATTAAATGCATACGAAGATAATGTCATATGAATATAAACCCTGCTTTGCACAAGACCTACATGCTGAAACGGATTTTAAATGTGCTAGTTAACAAGGTAACAGTTCCCAGGAAGATATGTCACCCTAATCAGACACATTATTCTAACTCGGAGCTGACCAGTCTTTGCTCATAATCCTAAATTTCATCTTTTTTTTGTGGAGAAGCAGCAATACTACTTTTCTAGTCTATGGTTTGGCTGACATGGCCAGGGTTTGAACCCATGACTTCAATCAATATTAATTATACTATAATAGTACTTACTCCTGCACCTGTAACAGACATGTCCAGATTACCCTGAACAACTTTCTGACAAACAATATCACCAACATTACTCTTTACCCTCACATTTTCACCCTAAAACAGTTAATTCATATTAAAAAACTGACATACAAAAACAAACATTTATTGATAGTGAATAAACCCCTAATAGCATACAGTTTGAAATGAAATATGGTTAGAATGAACACTTTGTCCATCAACAAATTTGATCTTGCACAGTTTGGTTGTTCTGTTAAGGCCCTCTTGGTTTTATGCTCTCATATGTTTTACCATTTGGTAAGAAATTGTTTGAGTTTCAAACCAAGTTTTACCCAGACACTTGTATTAACTGTAAATTCAGATATTATTATGTGCATTTATTATTGCGAGTTTTGAAGAATGGACAAACATGCGAGATTAATTATTGCGATTTCAGGAAAATCTGCATTAAAGGGAAAATTCGCGATTTTTTACTTATTATCTTATTATGTTCATAATACCATAAAAAACATATTCCCAAAGTTTTATTTGGATATGAACATTAATAAAGAAGAAAATTGGGAATTATTATTTTTATTTATTCGAACTTCCTGACTTCTGTGACGTAGTTTTAAGTCTTTTTGCATGCTGGGAGTGGATTAATCTCATTTAAAGTCTTGTTGGTTAATCATATAATAAAGTGATTTAAGCGCATCGACGACTTTTGGCGTAGCTATTAACCAACTAATAATTCAGAAAGAAAAGTGATCAGCCGTGCATCTTTTAAAATTAAAATGTACGATTTAAATTTTAAGGATTTCTGATATGATTATAGTAATAAAAGTAAATCATACAATAGAATGTTTTTATGATTTTTTTCCGACGGATATGCCGAACAAACATATATAACTGATAGTGTAATAGAAATGCATGTTTGTATTCTCACCTATTACTTCAGTCGAGGGTGTCTTACTATACAAATCCTTGCTTCAGTCTAGAACTGTGTAAATACAATGCATGTGTATTATACTGACACCACCTGGTAAAGGCGTGGTTAAATTCACGATAATTAAAAGATTAGCATCACATTTCAGAATGCTAGTTCTTATTATTGCGATACTCAGCCAGTCGCATTATTGGCTCGCAATAATTTCTGAATTTACAGTAATCAAATTAAATAATAAATCTGGATAGAGGCACTGATTATATATTTGGATATGCAAGCTCTAAAGAAAAAAAAAATTCTGTAAATACAGGTTCTGAAATTTCTGTCCCAATTGAAAAGCATTATAGTGTAAAACATGATGTAAAATTCTGGGTACTCTAATTTATATGAACAAGGACATTACACAGTATGTAAATCTAATTGATTTATTAAATGAAGTTTTACAAAATGTCATGAATTTTTAAGATATTTGATTGATATGTACAGGTTTAACATTTATGACTTAACAAATATATTGACTAAGAGTTTAAGACTGATAGAAGGGACAAATTGATTTTGACAGACATTTATGAACGTAGAGAGAAATGTTGTTCCAACAGACAAATGTCAAATAATTTGGTTGGTTCTTGCATTTCAAACTTGCCAATCTTAAAGCATTTGAAAATTGAAAAAAATCAATGTGTTCTTGCAAGCACTTAAAAGGGATTTCCATGATACTGACGTTACTTATATTGTGACTTCATGACTCTTTTGTTGATGTTTAGGCTAAGTATTTTCCCAACTTTGATTATAAACATGAAAATAAATCTTTACCATAATCGAACAAAAAATTTTAAAAAATGGCATGACAGAAATGATTTCAAATATATATAAACTGTATGACATATATTGACATAAACTTGAAGTGCAAAAAAAATTTTGGAAAGATGTAAATGCTATAGTACCATGTGAAATTCCAGGAAACAACCATGAAACAGAGATGTGCTTTTATTACTGAACTTAATCTTAAAGGTTGGTGTAATGTCTATCAACCATGAGTAAATTGTGTATACATGTAAGTGTGCATCTACAGAATAAGTACCTTCAGATTATGTAATGTACACAATGAGTTCTTTGTAGCAATGCTGATTTCATTGGTTTCCAAATTTTTAACAGACACTGATTTCCCAGTACATTCAACATTAAGATCTGTGTATAAGAAAAGTTAAAAGCATACATGTACATGTATATATTTATTCTAGATTATTTTCATTCAAGTCAGAACCCCCCAACAAAAATGACTTTCTTTGGACTTGCTGACAACTAAAAAATCTCTTATATAATTTACAATCTAAATTGTTTTCCAATTAATGAGTTAATTTTTCCTTGAAATAGATTTGAACCACCAGCTTTAATGTAAAGGTTACAAAATTAATAAACTGTTATCACAGAGATATGTCTCGCCTTTTTGTAATTTTGATAATGCAAATGTTGAAATTAAAATAGCAATACTTTAACATGTAAGTTATACAAATATTCAAAGTCGATGAACCATGACTGAAGGTACATGGCTAAACAATCTCCATGGAATGAGATGTGCCAATGCTAATACAACTGCATACCAAATACCATTGACTTATTATAAGTTGTTCCCTTTAAACAAACCTAAACACAAACATTAACTTGTAAACTATGTAAAAGTTTCAAAGTCAATAAACCATGATCAGGGGTGGGGCTATATAATCTCCATGGAAACGATACTTGAAAATGCCAATAAATTTGCATACCAAATATCATTGACTTAACATTAGCAGTTCATCTTAAACTGACCCAATCACAAACTAATACATGTAAACTAAGCAAAAGTTTCAAAGTAAATAGACCATGACTGAGGGGGCGGGGCCAAATATTCTCCATGGAAATGAGATGTGCTAATGCTTATACAACTGAACACCAATCAACATTGGCCTACCTTAAAAATGGTGTCGCGCACAAAAACCCCCATGGCCATTTTCAAAAGTTGGTAGGTATGTACCACTAATGGTTCCCCTTGAACTGACCTAATCACAAACTAATACATGTTAACTTAGCAAAATTTTAAAAGTCTATAGACCATGACTAAGGGGGCGGAGCCAAATAATCTCCATGGAAATCAGATATGCCAATGCTTATACAACTGCATACCAAATATCATCCACCTACCACTAGTGGTTCCCCATAAATTGACCTGATCACAAACTAATACATGTAAACTATGAAAAGTTTCAAAGTCAATAGACCTTGACTGAGAGGAGGGCCAAATAATCTCCATGGTAATGAGATGTGCCAATGCTAATACAACTGCATACCAAATATCATTGACCTACCACTAGTGGTTCACCATGAACTAGACCTAATCACAAACTAATACATTGTTGACGTCGCCGGAAACAGCATACCTATGTCTCGCTTTTTGACTCTGTCAAGGCCAGACAAAAAGAAGGGCACCTGTTTGAAAGTGTGATACATGTATATAAAAATATGCAGCATCCTTCTGTCAGATTAAATATATAAAAATATTTGTGCAACTGCTTTAAAGGCAATACATAGTGTACATAGAATTACCATAATTAATTGGCATCTGTATAGAACAAGTAGCTGGAAAAGTCACCATTGTATTGAACTTGGATGTAATTCTAATGTCATTTGCATCAGATGTATCAATGTTAAAACTGTACAACTTTGTAAGAGCAGCAAGTGAAGTGTTATTGGACTGTTCTGTTTGAGAGTCCTTTTCTTCTGGGGTATAGTTTAGTCTAATGAACAGTTTTCCCATATCTGAATATTCTTGAGGATCCAACGATTCAATATCTAAACTGAATGGTACTGATATATTTAATCTTCCGAATCTTTCGACACCATGAAACCATGTTTCCAGGAGACCTGGTTGAGATGTTTCTAACTTAGAAGTCTTAGTTTCCACATTTGTTTTAAAATCAGATGAGCAAAAATAATGAAATGAAAATATTCTAGACTTAATTGTTTTAGAGAGTAAATTGTGCTTCTGGCATAACAAGCTTCGCAATTTAAAGGTCATTTTTGTTGCTTAAACACTAGTATTATTACACAACCCAGAACAGGAAACCAACGTTCGATTATAAATTATCTCTCAACGGACAACACTGACAAGGTTCCGGATAAATAAATTTGGCCAGAGTTGTCTTTCTTTATATGGTTAAAGCTATTTTTTGACAATCAATTGAAGGGACAGACTCAGTTAGATTATATAACGTGTGCTGTAAATAAACTGTTGAACTATAACTGAAACTTTTATCATATTATTGGACTTTATCTCAGTACTGACCAGTAAAACCTTTCGCCTCTGGGTGTGCATTAGAAATTTCAATAACTAACTAAACGGAACTGTTGTTACCCCGAATACAATACTGAGGGAAAACCACAGGCACTTATATTTAATTGTCTCTGAAAAAAACCCTATATTTTTGGTATAACAGCACAATGTGTGTACATTAAGGTTCTAACAATATTAGGCTATGTGACTTATTTCTAAGCAGGTCATCAAATTATAAACACCTGGAGTTAACCCAAACCGCAAGACAGAAATGTGCAAGAAAAACACCGTTAAACACGACCAACATGCTGTTGGAGGTAAAGCAAAGTATTGTCTTTAGGATACAAATTCAGTTTTCTTTTTATTAGAGACGTCCATCGATGCAAATTTTGACCACATATACAATTTGCTATTTTGTACCAAATGCCTTCAAGAGCTCCACATGTAGCGCTGAATTGCATTTTGATTGTATTTGAATACATTTTGAAGTTGTAAAACAATATTTGGAAGTATATGATCAATACTCCTTAATATTCTATTTTTAACAGGATTTGACAGATTTTTACCCTTTGAGTGAAACAAATACAGGGGAAATTAGCCCTACTTTTTTTGTGATGCGCTAAATCTGTAGGCATTATTTGTGAAAAAAATACCTTTTTCATAACATTAACTTAATTTTGAATTTCCATTTTTACCTTTCAAGTAAAACAAATAAAGGAGGAATTACCCATGCCATTTAACCAAGATTTCAGTGAAAAAATTGTAAAGTTTAACTTATCATTTTCTTCATTCAAAATATAATGACTGTGTCAGATAATGAAAGCTGCTGAAATTTTACATTTACCCAATTGAATAAGCAAAAAGCAAAAAAAGAAGAAAATAATGAAAGGTGCATATATATGTTAATGTATTATATTAAATAGCCTATACATAGATTCATCTGTTTTATTGTTCAGGTCGAGCCCACACAGTATTTTATTTTTTAAAGAATGATTGTCAAGTAAGTTTGATATTCTTTTGTTAAAAAACTATATGATTCGTAATTTAAACCGCGAGGAATTGCCCTTTCTCAATGAAAATTGACAGAAAGGGCATTGTCTTGGGGACTTGCTACAACTAAAAGGAAAACAAATAACTTTTCTGGTACACTTATTAACTCGTTGCATTATTTTTAGCCTTAAAGGATATCCGTAATTCAAAATGAGACAAAGGTATGACCATAATTGACCTAGTGCAGCGGGATCCGAAAGGTTCTAACCATTACGTTAAGGTAAAATATTTTGAATGCACAACATATATGTACACAAACACTATGATGCGGTGATTTTGGTTGCACATTATTCATATATTTTTATATATAGCCATTACACCATCAATGTCAAGAAAAAGGTACCAATGCTTATAAGAAGTAAACATGATTTTAATGAAGGTACATTTGAGGGGGGGGGGGGGGAATCAACTTTGGTTTACCACCATACCATACGGCTAACTTACACCTGAGTTAAAAGAGACCCATTTAGGCATTTATTTTTGCCTCGTTGTTTTATCCAAAATTGGAGTATTTTCTAGACTTCATGTTCAAAAGTCACCGAAATTAATCGAAATTTTGTGAAAAGCAGATTTTGTTGGTTATTTTTTGTAGTTAGGTAGCTGTTTCGTTGATATATCCCGGAACCATTAATTCTTTTTATCATTCATTACCTTAAACAGTTTGTGAAAAAGTATTTTTCAAATTTACAGCATGTCATAAAAAGTCACAAAAGATTATTTGTTTTGCCACGAACGTGCATATTTGACAATGCATTGCATCACATTTACGTCAAATTGTAATAACTATCAATATTGACGGCGTTTATAATGATTAAATGAATTAATGTTGATAGATCTAGGCATGCAGACATCAAAACATATACAAGTCAATATCTACTAAAATGGAATAGACAATCTTAAACCAAGAACAACAGATCACTGATGCTCCCTTACAAACACCATACATGTTGAAAAGTTATATATGAACTGTTTGACGTATTGTGAAGTGTTGACTGTGGCCCCTTTCTTGGTCTTATATCTCAACACTGTCACAGTTAAAACAATTTAATCTCCTTTTTTCAACCTATTTACTGCATACGCATTGGAGGACATGCTTGCCATGTTGATCCACGCACGTTGATCCACGTCGTCTCACTCCAATTGGATAGCATGCGATTCCATTTATTTTCAAATCCATCTTTGTTCAAATGCCTTAAACCTGGATTTATGATACTTCGTCTGCACATATGTATACCGAAAAAGGTGAGTCACAATGAGGCCTTCAACAAGGACCAACGACGGTTGGAGCTGATAAATGTCGATAAAGTTATATTTGAGCATTGTTGAACACAGATTCGGGATAATATATTGTCATAATATCTCGCATATACAGTCATAATATCTCACATATACTGTCATAATATCTCACACATACTGTCATTATATCTCACATATACTGTCATAATATCTAACATATACTGTCATAATATCTCACATATACAGTCATAATATCTCACATATACTGTCATAATATCTCACATATACTGTCATAATATTTTACATACACTGTAATAATATCTCACATATACTGTCATAAATATCTCACATATACTGTCACAATATTTTACATATACTGTCATAATATCTCACATATACTGTCATAGGATCTCACATATACTGTCATAATATCTTACATATACTGTCATAAGATCTCACATATACTCATAATATCTAACATATACTGTCATTATATCTCATATATATACTGTCATAATTTACCAGATCTCTTTGTAAACAGAGAAACAATACAATCATTTAGACAGCCTCTGAGACCGAGAGAGAAAAAGTCGAGGGTACGCATTCATCTCAAACACCTGAGCAAAGTTATTCGGCCTCTGTAAACTCCATGTTACAGAAAAGAAGAGCGATGGTGTATTAATTCATGACATAAAATTACTGCACCTAAAGTAACGGCGAATATCCTGCTGTTGTGGCTCACTCACCGGTTGCTGAACAATATATAAATCTTGACAAATTTACTTGATTCATTTGAGATTTTTTTTTACAATCAGTTTCCTCTGATTATCGCCAAAACCACGAGAAAAACAAATCGGATTAATAAGCTTGGAACATATTTCTGTTATATAGATACAATGGATAAGCATGGATTCTTGAAAAAGAAACCATGAGCCCGGAGGGCGAATGGTTTGTTTTTCATGAATCTACGCTTATCCATTGTATCTTTAACTTAAACTATTGTGTTAATTTCTTTTCAAAATTAAAGCCTTTTTCTTAATTAGAAGGTATTGTAAGTGAGTTTAAATAACCATGTTATCGTGTCCAACGATGCATTGATAATTCTCAGATCACAATTAATTGGTTAACAAAATACAAATATAACACTTCTACCTTTAAAGATCTTTATATTATCAGGCATCTGAATATTATCTGTTTTTACAAAATAAGACATATTCGAACTTATTTCTAATAAAATTGAGAATGGAAATGAGGAATGTGTCAAAGAGACAACAACCCGACCAAAGAGCATATATAAAGTATATATAATAAGTATGTTACCGAAATTTCTAGCACTCTAGGCACATCACGATTTTCTAGCATAGGAATTTGCGAACAAATATTTGTAAAATTATGTAGTAAAACAGATGAAATCATACTATATTTATACAACAAAAATTGACAAATAGAATGTAATCATTTTTGTTTCAAACATGTGAAATAGCCAATCATAATCAAAAAAATAAACGGTAAAACACGCTATTATTACAAAAATATCCACTATAACATGCAAAATTAGAAAAAAAAAACAGAATTGGGACAACAGAGATAATACAGAGATTCGAACCTAAACCGACAAATCCCTATCTTTTAACTCGTTGATTTAAAGCATGCTAACCTCGCGGCTACCAACTTATACTATACGACTGCCCATTGTGTATATACAAAGGTACAACCCCTGTGTGTCCGATGTTCATTTATATATATAAAATAGACATCTAAGTTGTAACCCATTGGTAGCCGAGAGGTTTCGTCGATGTGTTGATGTCAGTCATTCATAACAGATTTCAAGGAAGGGTTCGATTCCCAGTGAAGGCATATACAAATTACAAAAATTAAAGGTAAGTTTTTAAATTAATTCCATTAGTGAACAGAAATCAGTAAATTAGCCAATTCAAACTTAATGAAATTAGACACGCAAAGGAAACAATTGAATATAATTTGGTGAGTCCATTTTCAGCGGCAGATTTAGAAAGCGTTGATTCTAGAAAAAGAATCCACGGTAAATGAATAGGCTGACGTCACCACAATGGTTTAATATAGTGTAACTGATTTTCAAAATGATGTGTCCTCATTTTACGCAGTTATCAATCTTTTAAACTACCCCAAATGTTATTTTTAGGCGGGATAATGTTATGTGATGTTATTTTTTAATGTTTAATGGATTTTATAATGCACAATATTAGTTTAATTCTGAGTCTAATCATGTTCCCCTTATTCAACCTCATTATCAGATTATTCATTTAATGAAAGACGAAATCTTTGTTACAAATATTTTAGATATTTGATTGATAAATATGTATTTTATTCACGGTATGTTTCACTCTAAATTTGTCATTTTTAGGTTAGATTTGAGCATGTATTGGCAGAACCAGAAGGGGTCCACAGTTTAGACTGCACTTGGAACTGTGTTCACAGTACTTATACAGGAGCTCGTAACTGTTGCTATGCAACGCTGACATTTGTAATAGGATTGTG